CATTCCGCAGGTGTTGTATCATTCTATCATCATTGTGTGTATCATTTTATCATCAACATATGTATAATTCTATCATCATCATATGTATCATTCTATCATTATCATATGTATCATTCTATCATCACCATATGTATCATTCTCTCATCAATATATGTATCTACTTTATCATTACAGTTATCATTTGCTCTATCGTAAAAATTTTCATCACGGGCCAACATTTGTGGCAATGAAGTAAGATTGAGGCTGGCGAACATCGAGTTTTACTATTTATACAAATACAACTCACAACTGGAATCCACCACTGAGCTATTGATAGATATATCATTATCAATTAATTCATCATCATTTGTTTTATCATTCTCATTATCATGTGGGCGGCGCGATGGTGTAATGGCTAAGGTGCCTGTCATTGTTGATGAAGTGTCCGGGTTCGAATACAAAAAGATCCCCGCCTATCACATGCAAAAGTGTGTGATGAGTTGATTCACGTGCATTCATGCACCGTGTGCTTGTTGTAGTAATGATAATGCACCTCAGTCGCTTGCCATGGCGCTATATAAAATGACATTACTATTATCAGCCACCGTATTATCATCATCATTTTTATTATCAAGTGTCAGCTACCACGGCGCCAACTTCAGCAGCGACGACGTTTAATATTTACATATATGCCTAACTAACTCTGTTGGCTAAAACTGTCATATCATTTACCAATTATAATATCAGTAGTACATTTTTTAAGTTATGAAGTTATCTTCTATGTTTGACTATAAACTTTTTCATTATTCATTACGATCATTGTGCATCGATCTCTGTTATTATCCTATGTTTTTACTTAATTTATAGACGTACGATTCATTTTTCGAACATTTTTTTCATTTTTCTTACCGGATAAGTGGTTTTTTTTTAGCCCTCTGGTTTTGTGAATAAATAAAATAAAAAATAAATAAATAAACATTATTTTCAGTTTAGCTATTTTTATCATCCTTATCATTTGAACCAATTCCTCATCGTCATCATTGTCATTAATACTTTAAGGTAGTTCAAGCCGTTTTGTCAGCTACCACGGCGCCAACTTCAGCAGCGACGACGACGACTACTACAACGACGACGACGACACGGCATATTCCGCAAACTCAAACAGACGTCGATGGTGGTTGAGAGTCGCTCAGCTGCACAAACTTCTCGGATTGAAGCAACAAATTAACCTAAGACACGGCGAAAACAAATTGGATTACGACGACGACAACTTCAGTAAAATCAGTGACAACACTTACTACAACGACAATTCAGCCGAAAGATGCAGAGTTCCGAAAAAAATTTTTGGTTCTTTAATACAGAAAAGAAGCTTGAAAATAAACATCAGCAGTAAATTGAAGTTTATCAGTGGCAGCCGCAATAACAGACATTTATCCCCAATGTCATCTAGCAGATATCACGTGCTGCATGCAATCTGCTTGCTAGGTCTTGAAAACTTCGACTCAATTTTCAGATTTCAAATTCCTTTGCCGCTCAAAGTTCTGCAAAATAACGACGAACAACAAGAGATTGTTATTTACAAGCAGCACGAACCTGGCGAACAGCTGCGAGATGAACGTCAAACTCCAGAGACAGCAGAACCAACAACAACGTATGAAAAAGAACCACAAAACCACATTCAGTTGACATCATCCAGCCAGCAGACCCAGCATCAACCACAAATACTCGAACAACAGCGGCACGACAGCAATCAAAAACACACAAAGCCGGCAAACGCGAAGAGGCCAACCTCGCTTCAGGGGCTGAACTTCTCTCGGGAGAGGAATGATTTTGCAGTAAAGGAGAGAAGAGGTAGGAGGTCCAATCACGATTCGGACTCGCCACTTTTCCAAAATCACAGTCCTTCGCATTTTTATATTACAGAAGAAAATATCGTACAAGTGTGTAAGCTCACTTATCAAACATTTGAATTTCATTTCTTCAAAGTTTTTAATAAAAAATATCTAATTTAATATTTCTGGCTCAGATTATTTCTTTGAAAAGTAAAATTACCATTTGGGGTTTGTACCTACTAAGCAGCTACTATGAATGGGTAGTGATAAATTTGTGGCACAAATAAAACTTCCTCGCATTGAGTAAAATTAAATTAGAAACAGAAAAAACACTAAAACATAAAAAAATATAAACTTAAGCCTACAAATTCACTCGCCAGGTTGATATGTTCTACCGGAGTTACATGAGTGACATCTTCGTCTGCAAGTGTTCCGTAGTGCTCAGGTTCAAATCCATACGAAAGCAGCTAGCCTACAAAGACCTCAGCAGCAGCAGCAGACCACAAAGTTTGATTGAAGCAGCGACAAGTACGGCTTCTAGTACGGCGACAACTTCGTCGCAAACGTATAAGACCACAAATAGTGCTGGAAATGTTATATCGCTTGTGGGTGATGGTGGTAGGTTGTTGCCGTCCAGAAGTTTAGGTTCCTCTCCGGTCGCAGGTTCAAACGCAAACGCTGCTGGAAAAGATTATCAGGACCTGTTTGATGAATGGTTCCATCTCACCTGTGTTGACTCATTTGACAACAACAACAACAATGCAACATGTTACAACAATGCAACATGTTACAACAATGCAACATGTTACAACAACGCAACATATTACAACAACAACAACAATTTTAATAATGGTGACTGCAACAGCAACAACATCAGCGTCGTCGACATCAACAATATCAATTGTAACAACATTCAAAACAGCTACATCGACAATTTCTGCGAAAATTTGTTAACCTTTCCTGGAAACGATTTAACCAGTAACAACAACAACAGCAGCAAAAATAACAACAACAACAGTGGCAACAACAACAGTGGCAACAACAACAACAATAGTGGCAACAACAACAACAACAGTAGCAACAACAACGACACTAACGATGACGACGACGACGACGATGGTTGGGAGCCTTACAAATCCGGCCTACTCCTATTGATCCACAATCACGGAGTTGAAGGACGACGTGATAGAAAGCTCCACATTGTTCTAGCAGAGCCTGGTACACCAATTTTGAAAATAATTTTAAAAGTACTTAAATTAATAATAATTTAAATTTTATTATTATAAAAATAATATTATTTAAAAATAATTATATTATTAGAAATAATAATAATTTTAAAAGTACATAAAATTATAATAATTTAAATTCATTATTAGGTTAATTAAATTAATTAATTTGCAAAAGTCTGTAACGTATAAGACATTTCGTCAAACATCTTCCATAGATGATGCTATTTCACGACAATTAAACTTATATGTATATTTCATTTACCATTGATTACATTTAATTTATATCTACCCATGAGATTTGTCTAAAAACCCAATTGAATAGTTTCACTTCACGGAATAACACAACTTTTTAACAATTTTATATAAAATTAATTAAATCACCATCGTAATCGAAATGCAAAACAGGAAGCGGATTCACCTTGTGGCGTGACGTAATCGACCATCTGTCCAATTACGAACGACTTGGTGACGTCACGCAGGCTATGCTGACGTCACGTGATCATAACAAAATGGCCGGTATGTTGTCGGGCTACTGGATAGCTGGTGGTTTTAATTTTGTATAATGTCTTGATGTTTTAATTAGCATTGAAATATAAAAAAATTTATTCTTTATTACCATTTTTTATTTTGAAAGATCCAATCTGTTTACCATTTGGCACATTATTGCTATTTGTGATCATTTTCCAGGTTTCAAGTTCAACGACAAAAACGCGGCCTCTGAGTTTTATGACAAAATTTCCGGTTTGACTTCTGACGTCACCGACGCTCTTCTCAACATCTCCAGCAGACGAATTAAAAACAAATCAAAACTGTGCGGCGGCCGTCCTGATAGCGACTGCTGTAGCGTCTGTAGTAGCGTTTGCAGCTGCAGTAGTAACGGAAGTAACTGTAGCAATAGTAGTGTTTTGTTTGGCGATTGTTGCCATGTGAATGAGGCTAACGTGAATTTTCGCGGCAAGAAGAACAATTTGGATGTCTGGTTAGTTGTATAAAAATTTTTCCGGGTTGTCGTGTTATTTTAAATAAGTTTTATTTTAATCGATGTTTTTTTAAATAAGTAAATACATTTTATATGAGTTTTAAGATTTGATAGGGTTAATAACATACCATGAGCGTTTATTTTTCTCGCACATTCCTTATGGCCAGGATGAATTAAATTGGATCAAATTGGATGAAATGAATGAATTAGGATGAATTAAATTAGATAAATTGGATAAAATGGATGAATTAGGATGAATTAAATTAGATAAATTTGATCAAATTGAATGAAATGGATGAATTAGGATGAATTGAGCTGGATAAAATTTGATAAAATTTGTATTTTTTTTATCCATTTTATTCACAAAATGACAAAACCAAACTCATATGAAAAGAAATAACTCATCAAAACCACTCCAAATTTCATATCATTCGGTAGAATTAAAATCTAGATGTTAAATCACAAGACTGTCAAAAAATTTTCTTTAACTTATATAAAAATATAATATATAAATAATATTTAAGATACCATCTGTAAAAGTGTAAAAAAAATCATCTTCCTCCCACCTACCAGCAATCAGACAAAACTGCACCGACGGTTCTCCCTCACAGTGGGCAGCAGACTGACCACGGCCATCAGGCAGAAGTTCTCCAGCGTCTACACCTCATCCCCAAAATCTTTCCGCCACTCTGGCTCTTACGAAAAAATTCGGACCGGTGTCAAACCTGATGGGCCCAGTTGCAAAAGTGAAACATGTTTCTGTGGCTGCTGTTGTTGTGGTAGTGGTGGTGGCAACACTAGCGACGGTAGATTTTCCAATAGTTGTGGTGGTGGTGGTGTTTGTAGTAGCAGCAGCTGTAGCGATGTTAAAAATTGTTTTAGTAGTAAGTGTTCTCTGGGTATTAAAAGTTGTCCGGGAGAGGTTTGTGAAAAGAGAAATGATTCGAATGAAGTTGAAACGTTAGAATTTGGAGGTAAGAATTGTGATTTCAACAGCGGAACGAGTGTGGATGTGGCGAGCAATGAAGTTGTCGTCCTAACTTCTGGAAGACTTTCAGAGGAAATGGATGAATTTTTTTCCAGGTCTGCGACCTTATCGTCATTCTCCTTCTCGCCATCGTCGTCATTGTCGACATCACCAAAATTATCCTGTGAAATTCCAACATCATCAACAACATCAAAATCACCAAAAACATTAACAACAACAACAGCAGCAGCAACAACAACAACAACAACAGCAGCAGCAACAACAACAACATCAGCAACAAAATTTTTGAGTACGGAAAGAAATATAGACGGTCCGGTCAGCCCAAACAAACCTCCGAAACCTCCGTCAAAAATGGTGATAAATGATCACCAAAATATCAACTCTCAACATCACCATCCTCTAAAGCATCAAACGTCACCCCACCACCATCCCCACCACCACCACCATCATCACCATTCCCCTTTTTGTAGTTCCAGTCAGAAACATTCTTCTCTCAGATGTAAAAACGTTTCGCCGAAAAGTTGCGTCAAAAAATTTGAAAATTTGAAAAAATCCGACATTTCAAACCCCTGCTGTTTCACTCGCGTCGGTGGGGTGGAGTGGATGGATAGGGAGTTTTTCCTAAAAAGGACCGAAATGGGTGAGTACGATTTCGTCACCAACAAAATCATCACACTGAATTATTTCGATTTCGATTTCAAGACTAAAGCACTCAAGTCTATTTTGAAAAAAAGTAAAACTGGTGGCTGTGGAGGTAGCGCCGTCGGCAGTGAAGTCGATAGTGGTGGCCATGGTGGTGACGATCGTGGTAAAAAATATGTCAGAAACAATTGCGACAGCATAAATCATGATAACGAAAGAGATGTATCCATTGAGTGTTACGGCGAGAATGATAATAGATACATAAAAGATTCTGGATACAATGATAATGATGGTGACGACGACGACGATGATGACGATAGGGATGATTACCTTAGTAAAACAGCCGTTCGCTACAAGTTATAAACACACATGGAGTAACAATCATGACAGTTTGATTGTTGTTAATATTGGAGTAAATTAAATTCACGTTTAATTATTCTTATTTTAATTAGTTTTATAATTAGTCTGATAATTAGTTTAATAATTAGTTTTATAATTAGTCTGATAATTAGTTTAATAATTAGTTTTATAATTAGATGGTTTTTAACATTTTCCAGCTTCCTAATTTTATTTTTATAAAGAACAACTCTTTATGAATTTTAATTTTTTTTCATCTGCCCGCATTTAATTGAATGAAAATAAATATTCTTTATTCTCATTTGATGTTGGTGAAAATGAACTTCCACACCGTGCGCACACACACACGCAAACACACACACACACAGACAAACACACAGACACACACAAACACATTATTGTAGCTTTTAAACATAGCATCTTTCCATTGTATGTTTTATGTCTGCTTTAATCGTAACAAAAATTGTTTTCTTTGATTTTTAGACTTTAATAACTGTATGTGTTTAGCATTTATTTTCAGACTGATTTAGTTTGAAGAGAAAAAAGACCAATTGTATAAAAGTTGTTTGTTCATTCATTCATTCGTTCGTTCATTCGTTCGTTCGTTCATTCATTCATTCATTCATTTGTTCATTCAATCAATCGTTCGTTCATTCGTTCGTTCATTTCATTCATTCATTCATTCAGCACGAGTGAGCAAACGAACCAACAAATAAATAAAATGAATGAATATGCATGGATGAACGAAAGAACGAATGAATGAATGCACGCCGATAATAATTTATTTGAAAGAAAAATATGTAAACACGAGCGATTCAATTGATCTATAAATAATATTTTATAAATTATAGTTTTTAAATTATAAATATATTAAAATTAATTATGGATAATGATTTGATGCTGAAAGTTAAAAAATTACGGATTTTTATGTTTTCATTGATTGTTCTGCTGTAATCTTACTGTTTTTGGTTGTAGTTATTGTTGTTGTTGTTGTCTCGAATGTCGATGTTTGTAGTGTTGTTGTTGTTGTTTATGTTGTTTGTGGTTTTCGTTTAAGCTCCATTTTAGTAATTCATTTACATGAATTTCGTAGACTTATTCAGAGACTAAAAATAAAATAAAATTTCGGTAGATTTTATCAAACATTGCATACACTAATGCATACAAACACACACACAACACACACACACCTACACATGCAACACACGCACGCACACACACACACACACACACAAACAAACACACAAACACACACACACGTTTATCTATCCTACTTAAAAGGAAAGAGCTTCAGGTTTATCTGATTTTTAAAATGGAATGGATGTTGTTTGTTTGCTGTATAATAGTAGTCATCATACGTTCTTATATACGCTATTTCCATGATAACTTTTAACATTTTCTTCTCACTATCTCATGTATGTGTTTATGTGTAAGTGTGTGTGTGTATGTGTGCGTATATGTGTGCGTGTATGTATGTAGATTAGTGTTTGTATGTGTGTGTGTGTGTGTGTGTGTGTGTGTGTGTGTGTGTGTGTGTGTGTGTGTGTGAGTCTGCATTTCTTGGGTCCCCATCATACTTTGCATACGATCATATATATGCTTTTTCCTTCCATATTACTTCTTAATATTTTCTCCCTCATACCATCTTAAGCATGTATTAGTGTATGTGTGTGTGTATGTGTGAGTATGTTTGTCTGAGTGATTGTATATGTTTGTTCATGCATGCGTTTGTATATGTGTGTGTATCAGTGTTAGTGTGTTTTGTGTTAGTTCATGTACGTATTTATATACAAGGGTTGTATGAATGCGTGTGTGTGTGTGTGTGTGTGTGTGTGTGTGTGTGTGTGTGTGTGTGTGTGTGTGTGTGTGTGCGTGATTCATCATTCATCCATCCTTCCAGTCATTAAAATTTTATATGGATAAGAGAATACATCTTTAAATTTAAATTGTTGAAAACAATAAACAACTGCAGCAACAACAAACAACAACAACAAACAACAACAATATTAATAATAATAGTTTAAAGCATATTTTTGCAGCAACAACAAACAACAACAACAATAATAATAATATTAATTTAAAGCATATTTTAGCAGCAACAACAACAACAAACAACAACACTAATAATAATATTAATTTAAAGCATATTTCTGCAGCAACAACAAACAACAACAAACAAACAACAACAACAATAATAATAATAATTTAAAGCATATTTCTGCTAAAAATATGAACATACACGTTAAAGAACTTAACTGTAGAGGAAATGGCTTTCAGGTATTTAACATGAGCAAGTGAACAATGGATTAATGAGATGCACGATTTATAAGATGTGCCACTGATCACCTATATGTATTGGAGCTACCAGTTCCAATGGAAGCATTTTGACGAGTATCTTGACGAGAATGGGAAAGAGAATAACTGCTTTTTTGATATTTTTTGATAAAATTGATAAAATTTATAATTACATTAAAAGTTTAAAGACACACTCTTAGCCATGTTTATTTGTGTGTGTGGGTTTGTTTGTGTGTGTTTTGCGTTTGTGTGTGTGTGTGTGTGCGTGTACTGTGTGTGTTTGTGTGTGTGTGTTAGCGTGTGGTGCGTGTGTGTGTGTGTGAAATTATTCATTCTCTCTCTCTGATTTACATAAAGAGTTAGCGCAGTCTAGAAGATGAACCAACTACAAATAAAACAACACAAAACGACAGATTATAATCTAAAATAATAGAGCACAACACTCCTTAATACAAATGCAATATAACTCAATATAATACAAAAAAAAACACAAATTTACAGAAAATATATAAATATATTTAATATCTAATTACACTCATACACACATACACACACATTCACACACACAAACACATTCAAACACAAACACATTCACACACAAACACATTCACACATACATACATACATATATATAGATATATATAATTACATATACATATCATGCGCGAGCATGTTCATCCACTTTCTTACTACGTTCCATATAATTAGCCTCGTGCGAGTTACTGCAAAAATGAACGATTTTTAAAGCTGGATGAAAGTCATTTTTAACTTTAAATGTTTTAAAATTTATTGATAATAATTTTTTTTTTTTGAGAAGTTAAACTAATTTTTAACATATATTATTGCGTTTGTATCTGGATACATTTCTCCTTATAACGTCCTAAGAGATAGAAAGAGAGAGAGAAATAGAGAAAAAGAGAGGTAGAGTAATTTGATAGGTAAGAGTTTTTTAATCTTCAAATATTTCAAATAAAAAATGGGAAAAAATGATTTTTTTTTGTTAAAAAGAATTAGCTGAACACTTTTCTATAAATGGTTTAATAATTTTATACAATGAAAAAACAAAACTGGTCTGGTTTAATTAAAACTTTAAAACCAATTTAATTAAAACCAAACTCCGTTCTGTTTTTTATTTATAACAATTCTTTCGTCAGTATTTCTCAGGGGCATCGCCAAAAACCCACAAGACCATAGTTCGACGATAGCGCTTACAATTAGTTAATTGTATTAATTAATTAAATAATTAATAACCTCCATCGTATTCTTCTAACGAATCTCAGAAAACATTTTTTCTAATAAAAATAATTTCATCACAAAGACTCAAAAAATACTTGAAAACTCGATTCAAAAAGTTTCAACCGTGTTTTAAAATCAGTGAAAGCGTTTTTTTTGTAGAGATACAGTGGCGGGTGTAGGGGAGGGCCGGGATGGCCATGGCAACACCCCGGACATGGTCAGCAGTATGTCTATTAAAAGTCAATAAAACTCATCAAGTCAGATAACATTACTGAAACACACACGCGCGCTCACACACACGCACGCACACACATACAGGAGAAGAATACCATTAGTGAAATTTTTGCCCACACTAGCAGCAAACATTTGCTTCAATTCATGGCCCATCCGTCAGATTTCGAAGTTTAAAAAATTCTTGCCCACCCCTTCCTTACTCCTTCCTTCAAGGTTCATTTTGAGTATAATCGTGTATGATGAAGAGTTTGCTTAGAAAATGTAAGTAAACAAATTAATTAAAGTGTGAATGATTGAAAGATGAATGGATGCATGAATGATTGAAACGTAGATTAAAGAAAATAAAACACACAAATAAACACACACATACACGCGCGCATGCAAAATACACACACGCACACACAAGCACACGCACACATAAACACACACACACATGCAGACGTATTTTTTTAGACAAAGGTATAAGAATATAATGTTTTGCGTTACGTGTTTGATTTCGAGATTTTGTTAGATGGTTAAGTATGTCTGTATTCAAAAAGTATGCCTTTGTTAATTTATAATGAAATGTAAAAAAGAAAAATGGAGAATTTTTTGAAGTTTTTAGCAGAAAATTTAACGCTAGTAATACTCAGAGAAACTTCTGAGACCAGCCTTGGTAGGTGTTGAAAGCATGTTTATTTGAATTTGCGTGAGTGTGTTTGTGAGTATGTGTGTGGTGTGTGTTTTCTGTATGTGTGTGTATGAACGTGGTGTGTGTGTATGTTTGTGTGAATGTATGTTTGTGTGAGTGTATGTTTGTGTGTGGAAGGGAGAGTGTTTTTGCGTGTGTGTTTCTGTGAGTGTGTGTGTGTGTGTGAATGTATGTGTGATGTGTGTGGGAGATTAATGATTGATTGAATATTTCTATGATGTTATTTTGTGAAAGGTACGGATGGATGAATGAATGAATGAATGAATTAATTAATTAATTAAAGAATGAGCTAAAAAATTGCCTAATATCTGAATGTGTGCGTGTGTGTGTATGTGGTGTGTGTGGAATAGTAGTTAGTTGATTGAATCAATATCTGATTGAATGATTGAACAATATGATGAATAAATGATTGAATGAATGATTGAATGAATGATAAAGATATAAAATTATAAAAAAAAAACGAAGAAATACTCAAACAAACAAATGGATGAACGAAACAAAAAACAAACAAACTAATGAATGAACGGAAGAACGAACAAACGAATGAACAAACGAAAGAACAAACAAAAGAACGAACGATCGAATGAATTCTTCCTCACTTAATCACTAGTACTTTAAAAATGTTGTAAGGATGGTATGTACTTTCCACTGAAGATGAAAGTTTCAAACAAAAATAATCTTCTCTTTACTCTACCTTGTTTACATTCAGGGTTAAAAATAATACCAAAAGCATAGTTGTTGTAACACATGTGACCCTTTTTTACGACCCATTCTATATTCTACATACGAATTTCGCACCACACATTATATCTGCATTGAAATCTAACCAAATAACAATGATGAAGCGTGCCACCTATCTAATTTAAAACAATTTGAAGAGAGGCGAATGAAATTTTTAGTGAATGAGCCAAAGCTGGCTGATGGTTTGATTGATGGAGTGGACAGTTGAAGTAACAGAAGTTCGGCATCTCATTCTATTTTAACTATTGCAAGACAAACCATAACAAACAAACAATAACAAACAAACAAGCAAACAGGCAAACAAACAAGCAAACAAGCAGGCAAACAAACAAACAGACACGCAAAATATCCAAGTTGA